AAGTGAATGAAGATACTGCAAATCCCATCATCCATGGTCCAGCCTCCTCAAAATTGCACCAGGATGTAGAGTGGATAATGGGGGCTCTGTGTGCCAAGTTTGGTCCAGATCCATCATTGGTGGGCATCACAGTGGTCTGTGGGAGCTGAAGCGTTTGAAAGCACTGCAAATCCCATCATCCATGGTCCATCCTCCCTCAAACTGCACCAGGACATAAAGTGGGTCATGGGTGTTATGTGTGCCAAGTTTGGTCCAGGTCCTTCATTCATGCAGGTCACTGTGAAACATACCCACATACATACATTCACTTTGATTATTATATATAGATATATATAGATATAGATATATAGATGAAGTTGAGCTCAGCTGACCAATATGTTGCATCTTGTATCTAATATCTGCCCTCAACGGTGCCCAGAATCCCCTTCCAAAGGGTTTGAAATGAAGATTCTTCAGCAGATCTGCTTAGTACAAAGTCTGTGAATGAGCAAATAAGGGTTGTCTGATTATTGGATTATTTGCTGGAGTCTATCAGCAGTGTTACCACAATATAACATTCCCAAATTACATATCAACTCCTGGGTCTCTATCCCAGTATCAACCTAAGGTCCCTCTCCAGAAATTGTGTTGATGCGCATTTTCACTAGACTATGAAATATTTGACATGGCCTATCCTATCGAGACCAAGACGTTCCTGAGTACCTTGTACAATGCCCTCACTGTGGGAGAAGATGAAGATCAAGAATAGGGCTCCATAGTCACCTACGGACCCACTGCCAGAACACCAACCTTGGAAGACCATCATCCTCAGACTACGAGGGATCGCCTAAGTACCTCTGATTAATAGTTGCCATCCGTATCTGTGCCCTGCTCACCCCACCAGCTCAATAGATATCTTGAGCAATGATCAGTCGATTTGCCCCAAAGAAATGGGAAATCAATGTTTCCATTTGATGTTGGATGTTTTCTCTTATGTCTGTTATAACTGTCTTATGTCTGTTATTAACAGGTTGTGCTTTTTATTTAAGTTATAATTCGTATTTATATGTTGGGTTGTATAAATGTTGTCAGCATGGATGTATTGTTGTATTCAGGCATTGAATGTTTGCCTTTTATGTTTGGAATCCACCCTGAGTCCCTTTGGGGAGATAGAGCGGAATATAAATAAATTATTATTAGTATTATTATTATTATTATTATTATTATTATTATTATTATTAAACTTGAAATCTAATTTGTGGAGAGCAAATGTGCAAGCAAAATTGTTTCACATAATCATAGAGTTGGAAGAGGCCATCCAGTGCAACCCCCTGCCATGCAGGAAAATACAATCAAAACACTCCTGACAGATAGCCATCCAGCCTCTGCTTAAAAATCTCCAGAAACTGAACCACACTCCAAGGCAGCACAATACTACTGAACAGCTCAGGGTTTTTATTTGAAAAATGCAAACAAAACGTTAAGCGGGAAAAAGCTTCAAGATTTATTGGCCTTGTGTTTATTGCTACACTGGTCAATTAGATTTTAAAAAATCAAGATATTGAGTGGATCATTCCATTATTCCATTGAATCCAGACAAGACAGAGGTACTCCTGGTCAGTCGCAAGACCGAACAGGGCATAGGGTTACAGCCTGTGCTGGATGGGGCCGCACTCCCCCTGAAGACGCAGGTTCGCAGCTTGGGTGTGATCTGGACTCATCGCTGAGCCTGGAACCCCAGGTTTCGGCGGTGACCAGGGGAGCATTTGCACAGCTAAAGCTTGTGCGCCAGCTGCGCCCGTACCTTGGGAAGTCTGACTTGGCCACGGTAGTCCACGCTCTGGTCACATCCCGTTTAGACTACTGCAACACTCTCTACGTGGGGTTGCCTTTGAAGACGGCTCGGAAGCTCCAACTAGTCCAACGCTCGGCAGCCATGATTTTAACAGGAGCGGAGCCCAGGGAGCATACAACCCCCCCTGTTGTGCCAACTCCACTGGCTACCGATTTGCTACCGGGCTCAATTCAAAGTGCTGGCGTTGGTCTTTAAAGCCCTAAACGGTTCCGGCCCAAGCTACCTATCCGACCGCATCTCTGCCTATGAACCCACCAGGACTTTGAGATCTTCCGGGGAGGCCCTGCTCTCGATCCCGCCTGCTTCTCAAGCACAGCTGGCGGGGACGAGAGATAGGGCCTTCTCGGTGGTGGCTCCTCGGCTGTGGAACGCCCTTCCTACGGACATTAGACTAGCACCATCTCTAATGGTATTCCGCAGAAAAGTGAAGACCTGGCTGTTTGAGCAGGCGTTCGAATAATTAGTGCAATGATTGGTTAATGAACATTGGAACGGAATAATGGATGACGAATCTGGATCATGTTTTTGATGATGAGACGATAGTGAATAGTGAATGGTTACTGTAGTAATTGTTTATTAATTATGTAATATGTTAGGTTGTCAACTGTTTTTACACTGTAGCATTGAATTTTTGCTGTTCTTACTTGTTGTGAACTGCTGTGAGTCGCCTTCGGGCTGAGAACAGCGGTATATAAGTAAAGTAAATAAAATAAATAAATAAATAAATAAATAAATTATGAAAAATCAAAAAGCTACAAAATAGTCAGGAAAGCTGTAGGACTCTTGGCTGGGTTTTATCGTTGTTTTTAGCACTCTTTGATGGTTTGTATGTATGTATGTTATTTATTTATATACTACATTTCTATCCCACCCTTCTCATCCCAGCAGGGGGACTCAGAGCGGCAGCAATTTGTTGGCATTGAATCTTGCCATTATTTGATATACACCACTTTGAGCCCACCCAGGGGTGAGAAAAGTTGCATATAAATGGAGTAAATAAATAAATAAAATGAACCTCTCTAAGAGAAAAAAAAATGGTATATTTATTATTGTTGTTGTTGTTGATTTTATTATTATTCGAAAGCATGTCAGCCATTTCTTAATCAGATCTTTTTGATATTCTGAACTCATTCCTCTATTAAGTGATTACACAAGCAAAAGCCAAACATGGGAATTTACCCCCAAAAATCCGCTCCATTTTCTGCTCCATAAAGAACCATGCTAGCAGAATTTTCCACTGTGGTTTTGTTGCACAATAACAGATTTACAACAACTGGCTTGGGCTTTTTAAATTGGCTTGTCTTTAAAAGTCAGATACACAGTTTTGCTTGAAGTCAATATTTTGTGTATCAATTGTTCCTAAAGGTAAACCACAGCAACCCAAAATAAAACAAAAGACTCATGATTTCTACATGTATAGCTGCTGGGGATGACATGCTTAGAATCAGCAATAATTCAAATACTGGAAAGTAGTGAGTAATTTATTTATTTCAATTAAAATCACATATTACAAGCAGCTATTACCAACAAATCAAAGCTTAGGTTGCTGTGCCCCCTTCTGGGCAATATTCATGTTACACACCTGAATTTTCTAAAACTGATGTTATTTTTCAAACTATGCCAGTAGGTGGATGTTAACCTCACAATTTAGCTCAGTGGCGTGCATGAAGCTTTCCACTCTTTCACCAGCCCTTATTCTAATTTAATTTACAGAGTTCTGAAAAGCATATCTGAGGATCAATCCTGACAAGACAGAGGTCCTCCTGGTCAGGCCCGTAACCAGGATTTTGTTTTGGAGGGGGCTGAGTTTGGTTCCGGGGGGGGGGGGGGCTGTGTCTGAGTGAAAGAGGGTCTACCCTAGCAAACCTTTTGTATCGTTACCCCAATACCCCCATGCATATGGGATATATTGAGCATGGTGATCAGATCATGATATATAAACATAAAAAAAAAAAAAAAAAAAAAAAAAAAAAAAAAAAAAAAAAGAGAGAGAGAAAAGAAAAAAGAGCAATGGGGCTACATATTTGGGACCTTATGTAACAGGTGGGGGGGGCGACCCCCCCCAAGCCCCATCCCCCCCCCCCCCCCGGCTACTGGTCGATCATAAGCCGGATCAGGGTATAGGGCAGCAACCTGTGCTGGATGGGGTTACACTCCCCCTGAAGTCACAGGTCCGCAGCTTGGGTGTCCTCCTAGACTCATAGCTAACGCTTGAAGCCCAGGCATCGGTGGTGGCTGGGAGGGTCTTCGCACAATTAAGACTCGTGCGCCAGCTGCGACAGTACCTCGTGAAGTCGGATCTGGCCAGGGTGGTCCATGCCCTAGTCACCTCCAGATTGGATTACTGTAAAGCACTCTACGTGGGGCTGCCCCTGAAGATGCCCTGGAAATTTCAATTGGTACAATGGGTGGAAGCCAGGCTACTAACTGGAGCGACTTACAGAGAGCGGTCAACCCCACTGTTTAAGGAGCTCCATTGGCTGCCGTTCATTTTCCGGTCCCAATTCAAGGTGCAGGTTCTTACCTACAAAGCCCTGAACGGTTTGGGACCTGCCAACCTGCATGATCACATTTCTGTGTACGAACCCATGCGATCTCTTCAATCATCTGGAGAGGCCCTGCTCTCGCTCCCGCCACCTTCACAGGTGCGATTGGTGGGGATGAAGGAGAGGGCCTTCTCTGCGGTGGCCCCCAACTCTGGAACTCACTTCAAGGATATCAGGCAAGCCCCCACATTGGCAGTCTTTAGGAGGAGCCTGAAAACATGGCTGTTCCAGTGTGCTTTCCCTGAATAAGGAAATAATCCCCAGAAAAATGTCCTCAGAAGCACTTTAACTACTCGTTGGGTTGCTCTCCCTTCATTTCTTTTAAAACCCTCCTATCAGATACATCCTTCCTCTGTTCATGCCCAGCATTTATTTTTTAAATTTTAAATTATTACATTTGGCCCAGCCATAGGTTTTTAAATCCTTGTGCATTACTGTTTACATGTGAGTTATATTAATTGTATTGTTTTTGCTTATTGTTTTTCGTTCTATTGATGTGTTGTCAGGCTTGGCCTCGTGTAAGCCGCTCCGAGTCCCCTTCGAGAGATGGTGGCGGGGTATAAATAAAGTTCTATTATTATTTATTATTATATTTGAAGTTATTTAAAACCATGTGTCTCCTCACAACAGAGGCCCCTGCTATATAATACAGATTATCAAAGCAGATAATCCACATTATCTACTTTGAACTCGATTATATGAGTCTACACTGCCATATAATCCAGTTCAAAGCAGATGATCTGGATTTTATATGGCAGTGTAGAAGGCGCCAAAGTTTATCAATTTGATACCATTTCAACTGCCATGGCTTCATCCTATAATAAATCCTGGGGTTTCTAGATAGATAAATTTTATTATGGTCCAGAGACCCCAACCACACTGTAGCACACAGGCAATGAGACTAAGAACATCCAGTGGACAAAACCCACAAACAGCAAAAGCTTCTCAAAATACATGTTGGCTAAAAACAAGGGTAAAAAACTATGAGAAGTGCCAGCGTGTTTCAGCCTCAAGGTATACAGGCAATGAGAATTAAGAAATAAAAAATCCTGGGGTTTGTAGAGGTTTTGCTGGAAGAAACAAGCTTAGATATGCAGATGACACCACTTTGATGGGCAAAAACCCCAAACCCAGCGATGCCCAGAAAACCCAGCGATGTTCTATGCTGTTTCTGGGGGACTCCAAAGCACCCAAAAGTTAACATGCTCACTGAAAATACGAGCTGAGGTGGTACATGCAAGCTCTCCAAAGGGATTGAAGGGCTCCACATCCTTAATTTTATGTGACACAATTATTCTTTACTCTGAAAAGCTTTAGCAAAAGTGGCAAAAAGGTCTCCGCTTGTGAGCACAAAGAGACTTTGATTGAGTAAGTGCCTCACTGATTCCAAGTTGCAAACATTCAGCTCTAGACAGATTTCTGTTGCTTTGTAACTGCTTCTATTTGATACCGAAGTATTCTTGCCCAGTCTTCGCCCCTCTTCAGGGTGGAAGATCTGGTCTCCATTTCTTTCAGTTTGCGGATCTCAGGGGAGATCTCCAGCGAGATCTGTGCTTTATGAACAGCATCTTCAAACTTGACTGGGGAAGCAGGAGCCAAGCAGCACCTGGAACTTGGAGGAAAATAATAATAATAATAATAATAATAATAATAATAATAATAATAATAATTTTATTTTTATACCCCGCCAACCATCACCCCTAGGGGACTCAGGGCACTTACAAGGGACATGCCCAAGATTACAATTAAAACACACATGTAAAACACTTTAACCAATTAAAACATCAGATAAAACAAATAACAACATACTCAGTTCTTGTGGGTTTTTTCGGGCTATATGGCCATGTTCTAGAGGCATTTCTCCTGACGTTTCGCCTGCATCTATGGCAAGCTTCCTCAGAGGTCTGCTGGAGCTGGGAAAAAGGGGTTTATATATCTGTGGAATGACCAGGGTGAGACAAAAGGTTTTTGTAAGTTGGGCTAGGTGTGAATCTTTTCAACTGACCACCTTGATTAGCATACAATGGGCTGACAGTGCCTGGAGCAAACTCTTCTTGAAAGGTGATTAGATGTCCCTGCCTGTTTTTCTCTCTGCTGTTTTAATTTTAGAATTTTTTAATACTGGTAGCCAGATTTTGTTCATTTTCATGGTTTCTTCCTTTCTGTTGAAATTGTCCACATGCTTGTGGATTTCAATGGCTTCTCTGTGTAGTCTGACATGGTGGTTGTGAGAGTGCTCCAGCATTTCTGTGTTCTCAAATAATATGCTGTGTCCAGGTTGGTTCATCAGGTGCTCTGCTATGGCTGACTTCTCTGGTTGAAGTAGTCTGCAGTGCCTTTCATGTTCCTTGATTCGTGTTTGGGCAATGCTGCGTTTGGTGGTCCCTATGTAGACTTGTCCACAGCTGCATGGTATACGGTAGACTCCTGCAGAGGTGAGAGGATCCCTCTTGTCCTTGCTGAACGTAGCATTTGTTGGATTTTCTTGGTGGGTTTGTAGATTGTTTGTATGTTGTGTTTCCTCATCAGCTTCCCTATGCGGTCAGTGGTTCCCTTGATGTATGGCAGGAACACTTTTCCTCTGGGTGGATCTTCATCTTTACTCTTGTGGCTTGTTCTTGGTCTTGCAGCTCTTCTGATGTCTGAGGTGGAGTCTCCATTGGCCTGGAGAGCCCAGTTGAGGTGGTTCAGTTCAACTTGGAGGAGGTGGGGTTCACAGATTCTTTTTGCACGGTCTGCCAAGGCTTTAATGGTGCTTCTTTTTTGACTTGGGTGATGGTTGGAGTTTTTATGTAGATATCTATCTGTGTGTGTGGGTTTTCTGTAAACAGTGTGACTCAATTGTTGATCTGGTTTGCGGATGACTAGGACATCTAGAAAAGACCTCTGAGGAAGCTTGCCATAGATGCAGGCGAAACGTCAGGAGAAATGCCTCTAGAACATGGCCATATAGCCCGAAAAAACCCACAAGAACTGAGTGATTCCGGCCATGAAAGCCTTCGACAATACAAATAACAACATAATTGAAAGCAATCTAAAAACAATACGGCTGAAAGAAACATAGCTGAGGTACAGATTCAATGAGTGCAATACATTTTTACAGGAGGGCAGGAAAGTGCAACAATACAGTTAACTGGGCAGGAAATACTGTCATAACACGTGTTGAGGTAGGACGTATGCCAGTGTAAAGTGCGGGCCGGTGTAAAGTGCGGAACTTCAAGTAGGGACAAGAAAGTTACTGGTGAGCTGCTTAGTCAAAAGCGCACCAGAACATCCAGGTTTTTAGTTGACTTCAAAAGGAGGACAAGATGGGAGCCTGTCTGATCTCCCTAGGGAGTGAGTTCCAGAGCCGGGGGGCCACCACCGAGAAGACTCTCTCCCTCGTCCCCATAAACTGTGCATGTGACGGCTGGGGGAGAGAGAGCAGTGCCTCCCCAGAAGATCTCAAGGTACGTACTGGTTCATAGGGCAAAAGACCCACAGGAATATCTTATGATATAAAAGATGAAGATACCAGATCCATAATTTCCTAAATGTACCTTGTTTTTTTAAACAAACAAAAAAACCAAACCCTGGTGTTCTATTGTCCACTTTCCAATCTTCATGTACATTTTCTGATCTTAGATTGGATCTACACTGCCCTATATCCCAGGATTTGATCCCAGATTATCTGCTTATTCCAGATTATCTGGCAGTGTAGATTCATATACTCCAGTTCAAAGCAGATACTCTGGAATCAGATTCTGGGAAAATAGGGCAATGTAGCTCCAGCTTTAGAGAGAAGTTATTATTATTATTATTATTATTATTATTATTATTATTATTATTAAACTTTATTTGTACCCCGCTAGCATTTCCCAAAGGACTCGATGCGGCTTACAAAGGCCAAGGCCTCAACACAACAACAACAAACAATAACAATACGATGCAAAGCAAATTAAAAACATAAGCAATAACACAACAAAACATTACACTATTACACAATAAAATCAGGGCCGAGCCAATGATAGGTACAGGTTAAAAAGTGCTGGGTGTGTGAGGTGGTATGTTGGAATTCTGGGCAAGTGCAATGTGCAGAGAATCTTAAACTCTAATAAAGTGCTTCTGGGACATAGTGCTGGAGGTTATCCTATTCTGGAAAGGCACATCGGAATAACCAAGTCTTCAAGTTCTTCCTAAAGACTGCCAACGTGGGTGCTAGTCTAATGTCTTTGGAGAGGGTGTTCCAAAGTCAGGGGGCAACCACAGAGAAGGCCCTGTCCCTCATCCCCACCAAACGCGCTTGCGACGCAGGTGAGATCGTGAGCAGGGCCTCTCCGGATGTACGAAGTGAGCATCTGGGTTCGTAAACGGAGATGCGGTCACGCAGGTAGGCAGGTCCCAAACCGTTTAGGGCTTTGTAGGTAAGCACCTGCACCTTGAATTGGGCTCGGTAGGTAAACGGCAGCCAATGGAGCTCCTTAAACAGGAGGGTTTACATATTGTTGCATGCATGTCGATCCTGCAGAGGGTCTAGTTTTTCTTTACATAGAAACCCTTACCTGCTTGGATGGCAATCTGAGTGCTTGTAATGGTAGCAAACACCAGTAGCAGTGTGAGGACACAAAAGGTAGTGGTTATCCTCCCAACAGCGTGTCATGGTATGGAGAATTTCTTCATCTGATACTGTGGAGGTTCGCAGATGTTCACAGAGCTACAATTGTGTAGAGAAATTGAAGGTTCTCAGTCGCTAATTCTTTCATAGCTGATTGGATCTTTACTTCTTGCTCTTATTTGTATCCTGTCATCTCTCCAAGTTGTACAGAACAGTGTACTTAGCTCTCTGTCTTTTTACCAAGAAATCGGGTTTTTTTTCTATAAGAATGACTACAATGGCATGCATAGGTCATCCATAACTGGAACGTTGCACATTCCATTACTGCCCAGCCATGGATGGATTCAGCACATCATTAGAGTCATTCTTAAAAAGAAGTTTCCAAACTAGGCCTCATAATTTTTATTACATTTATATGCATTCTGTGATCGAGGGAAGTAATGCTACCGCTCTACTCCGCTTTGGTTAGACCACACCTGGAATATTGTGTCCAATTCTGGGCACCACAATTCAAGAGAGATATTGACAAGCTGGAATGTGTGCAGAGGAGAGCGACGAAAATGGTAAAGGGTCTGGAGAACAAGCCCTATGAGGAGCGGCTTAAGGAGCTCGGCATGTTTAGCCTGAAGAAGAGAAGGCTGAGAGGAGATATGTTAGCCATGTATAAATATGTGAGAGGGAGCCACAGGGAGTAGGGAGCAAGCTTGTTTTCTGTTTCCTTGGAGACTAGGACGCGGAACAATGGCTTCAAACTACAAGAGAGGAGATTCCATCTGAACATGAGGAAGAACTTCCTGACTGTGAGAGCCGTTCAGCAGTGGAACTCTCTGCCCTGGAGTGTGGTGGAGGCTCCTTCTTTGGAAGCTTTTAAACAGAGGCTGGATGGCCATCTGTGAGGGGTGATTTGAATGCAATATTCCTGCTTCTTGGCAGGGGGTTGGACTGGATGGCCCATGAGGTCTCTTCCAACTCTTTGATTCTATGATTCTATGATCGAATTTATACACAGTTGGCCCTCCAAGGATTCTGTGTCTACAGATTCACACATCCACAGCTTGAAAACATTTTAACACCACCACCACCACCTCCAAGCAAGTCTTGGTTATACCATCTCATGTAAGGGACATCATTTTGCTATAATTGCTATAATGGGATTTGAACATACATGGATGTTTGTATTCTGGAAAGGAGGGCTAAGCATCGCTCTATATTTTGATTTTATGATGTTGATGTTTGTAATACCTGTGGCCTTACTATGAATAGATGCTGATGATGTAGTAGCTCTCCATACAATGCTGCAATGCATATAGCATTTATACTTAGCACACTACTTTATTTATTTATTTATTTATTTTATTTATCGTGTCATCCGCAACCAGAACATTGTATTACATTTCTAACAGAACAAAACAAACAAACAGATAAAAAAACACAAATTTTGCAAACTTGGTAGTGGATTAAATGTCCTTTGACCAGTATCTGGCCACTTGGAGTGCCTCTGGTGTTGCTGCAAGAAGGTCCTCCATTGTGCATGTGGCAGGGCTCAGGTTGCATTGCAGCAGGTGGTCAGTGGTTTGCTCTTCTCCGCACTCGCATGTCATGGATTCCACCCTGTAGCCCCATTTCTTAAGATTGGCTCTGCATCTCGTGGTGCCAGAGCGCAGTCTGTTCAGCGCCTTCCAAGTCGCCCAGTCTTCTGTGTGCCCAGGGGGAGTCTCTCATCTGGTATCACCCATGGATTGAGGTGCTGGGTTTGGGCCTGCCACTTTTGGACTCTCGCTTGCTGAGGTGTTCCAGCGAGTGTCTCTGTAGATCTAAGAAAACTATTTCTTGATTTAAGTTGTTGACGTGCCTGCTGATACCCAAACAAGGGATGAGCTGGAGATGTCCCTGCCTTGGTCCTTTCACTATTGGCTGCTACTTCCCGGCGGATGTCAGGTGGTGCAATACCGGCTAAGCAGTGTAATTTCTCCAGTGGTGTAGGGCGCATACACCCCGTGATAATGTGGCATGTCTCATTAAGAGCCACATCCACTGTTTTAGTGTGGTGAGATGTGTTCCACACTGGGCATGCGTACTCAGCAGCAGAGTAACATAGCGCAAGGTCAGATGTCTTCACTGTATCTGGTTGTGATCCCCAGGTTGTGCCAGTCAGCTTTCGTATGATATTGTTTCTAGCACCCACTTTTTGCTTGATGTTCAGGCAGTGCTTCTTGTAGGTCAGAGAACGGTCCAGCACACTACTGCTGTCCTTTTATTTTTGTGGAATTCTTTAAGAACAATTTTCAAGGTAAGTCCTGTCCTCAAATTTACATAAAACCAAGTTAAAACATGGTTGTTTGAGCAAGCGTTTACAAATGCAGAGTAGCTGACATAGGAATTGGAATCACTTGACAATGGAATTGGACAATGTTCTTAACTAAGAGTCACTAATGATGTTGGTTTTATTGTTTCTGTTGTGGTTTTTATATTGTTTTTAATGTTTAACTTGTATTTTGATATTATTTGTACTGATTTGTTGTAAACCACCTTGATTTTAGACCATTTGAAGTGGTCTCAAACTGCATTAATTCTACAGTGTAGATGCACCTGAAATCTATTCTAGGTTGAAGCATAAGCTTTTGTGGCTTTGGCATCACACATTTTATCTTTCCAAAGTCAAAGAATCAGGGGCCCTTTCCACACAGCTGAATGAAATCCCACATTATCTGCTTTGAACTGGAACATATGGCAGTGTGGACTCAGGTAACCTAGTTCAAAGCATATAGAGTTTCCTGCCTGCCCTATTCTGGATTATATAGCTGTGTGAAAGAGCCCTGGATTGTCCATTGTGGGAGTAACACTTAAAGGTAAAGGTTTTCCCCTGACATGAAGTCCAGTTGTGTCCAACTCTGAGGACTGGTGTCATCTCCAATCTCCAATTCTAAGCTGAAAAGCCATAGTTGTCCGCAGACACCTCCAAGGTCAAGTGGCTGGTATGACCTTCCCGTCACAGCAGTACATATTAATCCACTTACATTTGCATGTTTTTGAACTGCTAGGTTGGCAGTATTTTTTTATTTATTTATATTTTATTTATTTTTGCGGTTTAATAAACTTTTTTTGCTGTTTAATAAACATTTCCATGTTTTTATGATAGACCCAATTAGGAAATGACATTGATAACCCAAGAACAAAAACCATGTAGTGTTATGTAGAGCCCCAGTGGCGCAGTGGGTTAAAGCGCTGAGCTGCCTAACTTGCTGACCAAAAAGTCGCAGGTTCAAATCTGGGGTGTGGTGTGAGCTCCTGCTGTTAGCCCCAGCTTCTGTCAACTTAAGGTAAAGGTGAAGGTTTTCCCCTGACATTAAATCCAGTCGTGTCTGACTCTGGGGTATGGTGCTAATCTCCATTTTAGTTATGATTTATGTTTAATTGTGGTTTTATTATTGTAATTGTTATGTAGTGGCATTGTATCAGTGCCTGTTGTAAGCTGTCCTGATTCCCCCTCCAGGGGTAGAGACGTGATGGGTATTGTCCATAGTCACCTCCAAGGACATGTGGCTGGCATGACTGCATGGGGCGCCATTACCTTTCCGCCAGAGCCGTACCTATTGATATACTCACATTTGCATGTTTTCGAACTGCTAGGTAGGCAGAAGCTGGGGCTGACGGAGGAAGCTCACGCCGCTCCCTGGAATCAAACCTTAGATCTTTCAGTCAACAAGCTCAGCAGCTCAGCGCTTTAACCCACTGCGCTACCGGGGGCGCATAAATAAATACATATAAAAGCACCCTATCAAAAGCAAATAGTGAAATCAAGTAAAAAGCATTTTAAAAATGACACTCTCAATTTAATCTGTGAAAGAAGATCCAAAACCTGGTTAGAAAAACATCAGAAGGGAATGTAGAAATAAAAGCTTACCTTTTGGTGCAGTCCTGGAGGGAGTTTGACACTTCTGGTGACATAAAATTCTTCCATCAAACTCTTGACCAAATTGCTGTCTGACCCGGAGAAGAGCCAAAATATTCTCTCCATATTGTAAGGTTCCTTAAAAAAAAATGAAATCTGATACAACGGTGGTGTAATTGTTGGTGCTGCTCCCTCCCCAGTTTGGGACTCAGAGTGTCCCAGGACCTTATCACATTGATATATTATTTATTTATTTATTTACTACACATATACTGCCCCTCTCAGCCCAAGGGCAACTCGGAACTGTTAACAATAGGCAACAATTCGATGCCAGAACGGTTACAGCAATTAAATCAATCATAAATACTATTAAAACACTAACAGCAATAAAAAATATTAAAAACATACACAGCATGAAAAAACATTATCAAAGCATCTCCATATCAGATCATTGTCCAGTTGTGCCATCAGTGGTCCATAATATCATATACCTATGGCGTATTTGGGAAGGTCTGCTTGAAAAGCCAGGTTTTCTCCTTTCTTTGAAAGGTCAGGAGGGAGGGGGCTGATCCTATCTCTCTAGACATGGCATTCCACAGTCAAGGGGCTACCGCTGAGAAGGCCCTGTCTCTCGTCCCTGCCAGACACATCTGTAAGGAAGGCGGGAACAAGAGCAGAGCCTCCCCAGAAGATCTTAGTGTCCTTAGTGTCCTAGGGTTCATAAGGAGAGATACGTTCGGATAGGTAAGTTGGACCGAAACCGTTTATATCAGTATGTATCCCATATTTTTTTAGGACTCGATGTATACTGTATTGAGACAAGATGCATACTTTCCTCATCACACCTGAGTAATATGATTCCTTTTATTTGAAAATACTGTGCTTTGACTGACTCGTCACACCATGGAAGGCTAGCTCCTCCTAATCCATTCAAACACCCCCTCCATCACTCTATAATCTTTTTTAAAGTATAGTTGCTGATGGGATGCATACAGATTTTCCTACCACACAAACAGCATTTCAGCAACGGAAAAATCTGTAGTATTTCAAAAAAACACAATTCGAATTCTGTCTGCAAATAATAAATTTCTACGATGCTGTGCAGATGGATTCCGACAGAATCCTGAGGGGATGAGGCAAACATTATGTGATGGGACCCATTGGAAATCATTCTCAAACAGTCTCAGAAATGGAGTATTTCCTAATGTGATAAGGTCCCTTGTTAATACAACCGTTAATGCAAACACTGCTTTGAGTTTCCTTGTGGAGAGAAAAAGCAGGGTATAAATAATGACAACGACGATGATGATGATAAGAAGAAATAATAATAAAGTTTATCTCAAACAAAAATCTCTATAAATAAAAATGTAATGTTCGTTTGTGATATTAACAGAACTCAAAAACCACTGGGGGAATTGACACCAAATTTGGACAGAACACAGCATTCAGAGCAATCTGTGTCCTGCACTCAAAAAAATTTCTCCCAAAAAACAGTAAGACCTTAAATTTTAAAAGAGAACACCGCACATGCGTTCAAACCCATTCTCTTCCCCCCACCCCCGCCGCGCAAGCACAGCCAGCGTGAGAGGCACCAACGGCATGCCCAATGGCAAACAGGCGAGAAGGCGTCCCGCAGCCATGGCAGAGAAAAGGGGCGGTGCTGGGTGAGCGAGGCCTGCCTCCAAAGCGCCTCTCTCCCACCTGCTCCGCGCCTGGCTCCGAGGATCCTTCCTTCCAGCGCCCAGGCAAGAGGTAAAGAAGGGAAGGAAGGGAAGCGGCAGAGAAGAAAGGAGAGAGAGAAAGAGGGAGGGAAAGAAAGCAGGAAAGAGAGGAGGATGGAAGCAAAGACCAAAGGAAGGAAAGGGAGAGAAGGAAGAAAGGAGAGGAAGAAGGAAAATAAAAGAAAGGAGGGAGGGAGGAAAGAGAGAAGGAAAGGAAAAAAAGGAAGGAACGAATGAAAGAGGTAGAGAAAGAAGGTGAGAGAGAATGAGGGATGGAAGGTTGGCCACAGCACCTACTAACCCAAGGAGTGACCATCACTCAAAAAATTGAGTTTGTCATTTGGGAGTTGTTGTTGCTAGGATTTATAGTTCACCTATAATCAAAGAGCATTCTGAACGCCACCAACAATGAATTTGAACCAATCTTGGGACACAGGCCTCCCATGACCAACAGAAAATACTGAAAGGGTTTGGTGGGCACTGACCTTGAGTTTGGGAGTTGTAGTTCACCTATATCCAATTCCCACCAGGGCAAGAAAACATAATCAAAGCCCTCCTGACAGACAGCCATCTAGCCATAGATAAAGATATATATTATTCACACAGAGAGAGATAAAGTATTATATATTTGAAAGGGACTCCTAAAGTTGGACAATTATATGTTGCATGTTCCAGAGCAGGCAAACCAGACAATCTCTATGTCAACACTGTCAAAGAAACATCAAGAAATACTGTTTACCCACAAGCATAAAGACGTTACATATATTGGAAACCAGCACTTTCTAATTACTTTATTTTCTTTATCACCAGACTGGCCACAGCAACGCGTGGCAGGGGATCGCTAGTGAAAAATAAAATTAAAGTACCCGTTATATTAAAGCTAGTTTAAAACATCCATTTCAAAGGGGGAAAAGGCAATAAAGCTCAATATGCAGTGCCAAAATGGCAGCTAACCTCTCAAGCTAGTAGAATTGGCCCTCTTTCTACTCCAGCTACATAGAACAGTATCTAAAAAGTAGCATTAGAACTGAGATGAAGAACACCGAGCTCTTAAGAGTCTCTGGCACTCTTAACAGGTAATGGGGTAAAAGTATGAGAAGCATAGTCCAAATACATCTAAAGGATTTCATAATTTCTAATTCCTGTGGAAAAGGAGATGAGAAAGCAAGTGAGGGAGAGCTGCTCTCTCAACAGATTAAACAAAGTGGCCTATTACTGCAAGTTCATGCAAACTAGTCATCCCCTGCCACGTGTTGCTGTGGGCCAATCTGTGTATACGTGTTTTATGTGTGTATATATGTATATATGTGGTTTTGTGCATGCGTTGTAATGTATTTTAAAATTTTTTGGCTTTTTAAGCCTCTTCTGCTGTGTTTTCCAGTTTTTATGAGTGACTATCCGTCCCCTGCCATGCATTGCTGTGGCCCAGTCTGGTGATCTGGAAAATAAAGTAATGAGAAAGTGTTGGTTTCTAATATATGTAATTTTTTTATGTTTTTGGGTAAACAGCATTTTTTGTTGTTTCTTTCTCAGTGTTGATGTGGAGATTGCTTGGTTTGCCTACTCTGGAACATGCAACATATAATTGTCCTTCTTTAGGGGTCCCTTTCAAATCTATGATACTATATCTGTGTGTGTGTGTGAATTATATCTATCTATCTATATCTATGGCTGGATGGCTCTTTGTCAGGAGGGCTTTGATGACGTTTTCTTGTCCTGGTGAAAGGAGTTGGACTGGATGGCCTTAAGTATTTTCTGTTGGCCATAGGGGTTCTGTTTGGGAATTTTAGCCCAATTCTGTCGTTGGTGGAGTTCAGGATGCTCTTTGATTGTTGGTAAACTATAAATCCCAGTAACTACAACACCCAAATGTCAAGATCTATTTCCCCCAAACTCCATCTGTGTTCATATTTGGGCATATGGAATATTCATGCCAAGTTTGGTACACATCCATCATTGTTTCAGTCCACAGTGCCCTCTGGACATAGGTGAACTACAACTACCAGACTCAAGGTCAATGCCCACCAAACCCTTGCAGTATTTTCTGTTGGTCATGGGAGTCCTGAGTGCCATGTTTGGTTCAATGCCATAATTGCTGGAGTTCAGTATGCTCTTTGATTGTAGGTTAACTATAAATCCCAGCAACTACAACTCCCAAATGACAAAATCAAAAAAATTCGAGTGAAGGACATACATTGGGTTGTTAGGTCTATGCTGTCCAAATTTGGTGCCAATTGCCCCACTGGTTTTTGAGTTCTGTGAATACCACAAATGAACATTACATTATATTTATATAGATTGGTCCTTAAATCTGTACCCTTGCTAATCAGACAAAAGCACCCACCTACAATGAATAAAGTGCCTACTTGAATATCCATTGCTGAAGCTAGCGTTGACTTCACAGTCTTCGACAGTGAGAAATGTCCTTGCTGAATTGCTCTGTGTATAATGTCGTTGTCATTGACCACAGCCACAAGCTCAATGGGGAGCCCCATCTTCTGTGCAATGAATCCAGCTGCATTAAAGAACAGTAATCTTGGGAGTACCAATCTGATTACATAAACAGAGTAGATGATTCATGGAAATATTGGTGGCATATTATAGCAACAGGACTAAAGCTGTTCAAGAACACAAGTTATCCTTCAATATCCTTGTGGCTAAGGTTCCGCCCCAAACTATAGCTCCCATTATCCCTCACCATTGGCTATGCTGATGAGATTTTAGTTCAACAACATGTACATAGTAGGGCTGGGCGGTTTCGTTTCGTTAATTCGTAATTCGTTAAAAATTCGTTATTTTTTTTATATAACGAAGCGATAACGAACCATTCTGGAGCAACTTAAAAACGAAACGAATTTTTAAATTCGTTTCGTAAATGCTTCGGATTCATTATGTATTCGTTTCGTTATCGGTTTGAGGTCGTTTCGTTATTATTTCCGCATGTCTGGGGCAAGTTTTATAGTTGTTTTTTGTTTAATTAGTGAAAAAAATTATAATATCACACCAACAGTCAACAACAGAGGGAGAGGGAAGCTTCAGAAGTTCCCCCTGTCCCATTTGGAGGTTTTTTAGCGTATTGCGCGGTCGCGTCCGCCATTAACGAATCGATTCGTTATTGTTTCGTTATTGTTTTGTAATTTTTTTACCATTTACGAAATTTCGTAAATATCGAACTTTTTTTTAAAAAAAATTCGGAATTCTTTTAAATATCGAAACGCAAAAAAACCCCAAAAAACGAATCGATTTTAGAAACAAATTTTTCCGTTGTTACCCAGGCCTAGTACATAGTATTGTCGAAGGCTTTCATGGCCGGAATCACTCAGTTCTTGTGGGTTTTTTCGACCTGCATCTATGGCAAGCATCCTCAGAGGTGAGGTCTGCTGGAACTGGGAAAAAAGGGGGTTTATATATCTGTGGAATGACCAGGGTGAGACAAAGGGCTTTTGTAAGTTGGGCTAGGTGTGAATCTTTCAACTGACCACCTTGATTATCATACAATGGGCTGACTGTGCCTGGAGCAAACTCTTCTTGAAAGGTGATTAGATGTCCCTGCCTGTTTTTCTCTCTGCTGTTTTTGCTGTTGCAATTTTAGAATTTTTTAATACTGGTAGCCAGATTTTGTTCATTTTCATGGTTTCTTCCTTTCTGTTGAAATTGTCCACATGTTTGTGGATTTCAATGGCTTCTCTGTGTAGTCTGACATGGTGGTTGTGAGAGTGGTCCAGCATTTTTGTGTTCTCAAATAAAATGCTGTGTCCAGGTTGGTTCATCAGGTGCTCTGCTATGGCTGACTTCTCTGGTTGAAGTAGTCTGCAGTGCCTTTCATGTTCCTGGATTCTTGTTTGGGCGCTGCGTTTGGTGGTCCCTATGTAGATT